CCACGGGGGTCGTAGAGGTCGCAAGTATCACGTGGTAGACTTGGACTCAAGTTTTAAACACTTTGGACGGGGCTGGAGGCAAGGCCACGACATGAGGGTACTCAATGTAACTCTAAGATGTCCAGTTGCTTCTTGGTTGTCTAGAATGAGAAGCCGGGGGCGTGGACGATGGCACTGTGTTCGATTGTGTGGTGAGGATTACAGTGTTGCACTGGTTATGGTGCGTTCTACCTTGGCCAAAGCTTACGGAGGGGAGGTTCGAGTGATTACACTATGTGGCTTCCGTAAGGGGCGGCGGAGAACGTTCACTTATAATTTAGAATCTGGGACATGTAAACGTTATTTGTTGAAACTCGTGCCGGGAAAAAACCCACGTAGCAGACGACTCACGACGCCTAACGAGCCACATGTCGAGGGAATCAAGACCTTAAGAAAGAGGTCTTGGTCCCTTACGTAGCCTCACGCGACTCTGAGCGTCAGCAATGCTCGATTTCCTCCCTCAAAGTCCAGCTGAACGCGAGGACTGCGAATAAGAGCGGCGGCGGCGCCTTTGATGCGTGAGTTCGTGTTTGGTGTCTCTACGTGCGTTTGCGGACGTGTGTGACTATGCGGTGTGCGTGCGTATGTGTGTGTGCGTGAGTCTGTGTGTGTGTGTATACATGTGTGTGTGTGTGTGTAGAATATGTATAGATAGCTATAGATACAAATTTATATATGTGTGTGTGTGTATGTATATATGTATATATATATATATATATATATATATATATATATATATATATATATTGTATATATATTGTATATATTTGTTTGTGCATTTATTTATTCATACACATATATTTATGTATTAATGCATGTGTGTGTATGTATGTAGTTGTCGTGAAGATCACTGAAATCCTGAGACGGAGGTGGCGTCTGTCCCGCAACAAAGCCATGCCCACGAAGCACCTAGTACGAGGATGGAAGGGGGGGGGGGTATACCCACCAACAGCGAGGGAGTCCTTGCAACGCCCTGTCTTATTGATCACTGTTTGGCCGGACGCTGCGCTACCTTCCCTGGCTGGGGCGGGGGGGGGGGGGGCTACTTTAGTGCTACTGGGTAGGGTTGTAGCGTAGGGGAGGGGGAGGAGGAGGGGGGAGTGGCAAGGGTAGGGAGTGTCTAGCAAAGGGGATGTGCTGTAGTATTGCTCTAGTATGGTATATCGCTGTATTTCGGTAATACGATATATTATAGTAGTATCAGAAAAGGGGGAGGGGGCAATCGGAGAGGATAGAGAGTGCGGTAAATCTAAAAAGGAGAGAAAGATCTTGCAAAGAAATCCGAATAAAGGCAAGACAACTGATAAGTGTGCTGATAGAGAACTTGCAATAATCCCCCAGCATTTTGTAGCGCTGTAGGAATGCTCTTTTGGGATTAGCCTCTTGGACCGAGTTTTAACCAACATAAACGGCATTGGCCTACTTTATCTATCGCCAGGCGCAGATACACACAAACTTTATTAAGACCTCACATCTGATTGGCGCAGTGGATATAGCTGTCCACTTCGCATTCCACATCTTACTCCTCTCCTCCGAAGAACGCCGAAGAAGGCGCTGTAGGAGAATTCGCGACGAGACAAGGAGCCCAAGGAAATAAAGACCGGAGGCTATGGTTCCTCGCGGAGTGGGAGGGCGAGCGAGTGACCGGAGGAGGAGGAGGCTCCCCCGCACGCCCAAATCTCGACGAGGGTCTTATTGATCTGCCTTTGGGCGCCTCATTGCGGTACCCCATGCCCTGGCCCACCGGAGGGAGGTGGGGTGGGGGGTGGGGAGGCGAAAGGAGGATACCTTTTTCGTTTTCGCTTTGCCACTATTCTCGTTTTCCTTCCGTTGTTTTATTGATACTATTCTCGCTGATTTTAATCCCTACTATAAAGTTGATTTTAATCCCTCGGATAAATAGGTTCCAGTTAGGTGTTGCTATCATATTTATGTAACGTAATGGCAGCATTATGCACGTTGTATTTTCCAATCTCCCTTGATTTTCACCCTGCCCCCCCCTCCCCTCCCCTCGACTGTTTAGGCTGAAAGGGCACTGGGCACAGCAGTGGGACGCCCAGGGGATTGTCTGCTACTGAGCCTCCTTCTGGTGACCGCTTGTGACAAGAGATATTTTTGTAATTATAACTTAATCCGCACGATGCTTGGGAGCTTAGTTCGTTGTCACTGTTGTTGTTTTCGTTAAAACTATCAATCTTTATTTTGATACGATTTTTATAAGGATGATGATGATAATAAGGATAATGATTAGAATGATAATGATAATAATAACGATTTATTATCATTATTGTTATTATAAACATTGTTATCATTATCATTATTGTTGATATTATTACTATTATTGTTATTATCATCACTATCAATTGTATTGGTATTGGTATCATCATCATGCAGAGAGAGAGCAGAGAGAGAGAGAGAGAGAGGAGAGAGAGAGAGAGAGAGAGAGAGAGAGAGGAGAGAGAGAGAGAGAGAGAGAGAGAGAGAGAGAGAGAGAGAGAGAGAGAGAGAGAGAGAGAGAGAGAGAGAAGAGAGAGAGAGAGAGAGAGAGAGAGAAGAGAGAAGAGAGAGAGAGAGAGAGAGAGAGAGAGAGAGAGAGAGTGCCCGCGCGTATGTATCCATGCGTGTGTGTCTGATATAATCAAACATTTCCTCTATTTGTCCAACTCAAGATCGAATCCCACCGCCTCGCCCTGTCCCCCTTCACCCCGGCGACTCCAAATCCGGCGCGGACTCACCTGCCGAAGCACGTGTCGCTCCGCCGACCCGAAGGCCGGGAGTTGAGGGGCGTCGCGGGAAGGGGGAGGAGGGGGAGAGGAAGAGAGAGAAGAGAGAAGAGGATAGGAAGCCCCTCGGGTCCCTGGGGAAGGATTAGGGCCTAGGGAGAGGCAGGGGGGGGGGTGCCGTTCTTATGGGACTCCGTGGGGGCGACGTATGTACGGCAATGCAACGAGGATTTGGTTTCGATTCATTTCCGCATTTCTGGGACGACTGACGCGCGCTTGGGTAGATAGACAGGCAGATAGATATTTGATTATCTTTATTATCCATGGAGGAAATGATTATCCGATTATCCGTTTATAATGATCGAATATCTGTTTATATTTCTCCAAGTAAATGTATAAATAGGCAGATGAGCAGAGAGAAAAATTATCCTTTTTTTAGCACCGTCCGCGTAGGAATTTTCGTCCCGTTTATCCATTATCTATTTATCCATTTATCCATTATTCACTTATCCATTACCCAATCTACGTTGTCACATTCCCTCCATTCGCAAAAGTTTCCTCCGCCCCGACGTCTGCGCGAACCCTTTACCCGGGCGCCGTGTGAAAGGCCGCGCCGGTTTTGATCGCGCCGATTTATCGCCGTTCTGTTGGTCCCTGGAAGCCTCAGACATATTACCGCCGCCCATTATTGGTCCCGTGGGAGGAGGGAGGGCGGGGGCGGGAGAAATGGAGGAAGGGAGGGTATGAAGGAATGTTTCCCCTTCTCTCTCTCTGTCTCGCCGTCTCTCTCTCTCTCTCTTTTCTCTCTCTCTCTCTCTCTCTTCTCTCTCTCTCTCTCTCTCTCTCTCTCTCTCTCTCTCTCTCTCTCTCTCTCTCTCTCTCTCTCTCTCTCTCTCTCTCTCTCTCTCTCTCTCTCTCTCTCTCTCTCTCTCTCTCTCTCTCTCTCTCTCTCTCTCTCTCGTCTCTCTCTCTCTCTATATCCTCTTTCTCTTCTCCCTCCCCTCCTCTCCCCTCCCTTCCTCTCTTTCCTCCTATCCCTTCCCCTCTCCTTGAAAAGAGAGGAGAGAGCGTTCTAAAAAGGCTAAGACGATATTATTGCTCTTAATCATCGTAGTAGTATTCTATGTAAACTTATCTATAGCGAAACAGTTTCAATTTCAATCTGCCTCCCCCCGATCAACCCCTCCCCTCCCCCTTCCCTTCCGTTCGCTCGCTGGCGCCGAAAGCAGCGCATCAGTGGCGTCGGGATCAACACAAAGACATTAAGGTCCGTCAAGGATCGCTGCCTTTGCCAGCGCCGCATCGACACCAGAGTCGATAACGGGGTCGTGATTAACGGCACAGACACGGATGAGAAAAAAGAAAGAGAAAATAGGAGATTTGAAAAACTGGGGGAAGAGAAAGGAAAACAGGAGAAATCAGAGGAAAGGCCGTATCGGCGCGCGGCATCTTCGCGTCTCCTCTCCGCCGTCGTCTCAGGCAGATAAGCGACTGTTAACCGTAGGAAGTTCCCCTGCCAGAGCGAGCGCTTTGGCGGCATCGACGCCGTCCCCTTAATGTCGCCGTAAAAAAGGGCGAATTTAGCCTCGCGTCCCGGCTGCTCCGGCGCTCAGCCCGAGTCGAAGTCGGAATTGGCGCAAAACCGCATATTGATCCGTGTAAGGAGTAAGCTTCGTTATGTTTGTCTGAAGCACTTTCTCGGGCAATCAAACGTGGCCACGACACAGCGCCTCGTGAGCAAGTAGCTCTAGTATTGATTACAACATGCGTCCCTGCAGCCATATTGATCACACGCGTTGCCATGGAGACACACTGTCGGAACGGATCGGTTTAAAATTCTCATAGATAGGATCGCACGCGATGGTTCGCGTCGTAATCGCCAGGTGAGACGGCGGGAATGCGGCCGAAGGAAGTCGCGACGACGCCCTCGCCGACGTCCTGCAGGGAGACGAGGCGAGTCGAAAAGGGAGGCGGGCGGCCGAGGCACTTCGAGCGAAAGCTGTGCTTGGGGATTTATCGGCGTGACTTCCGAGGGCGTCTTATAAGCGATGATGGATGTCTCCTCTCGGGGCCTCGGCGCCGTCAGATGCTGCGGCGGCGAGGCGGAGGAGACGTGCAGATGTCGCTATAAATGCATAGATTAAAAGCAAACACTGTAGATTAAAGAAACATCTCAGAATGAAAACCTATCCAAACAGACTTGTTCCAATAACTAACGTCTTTCTTCTCCCGCAACAG